GTAATTTTGCTACTGTTATGAATCGTAATGTAAATATCTGGCATGTACGATGTATTTTCAGTCACTGGACCAAATTTGGCAAAAATATCCAATACACCCAAATTTGAATACTGGTGGGGTTGGAAGGGGGGATTGATTTTGTCATTTGGGAGTTATAGTTGCTGGGATTTATAGTTAATCTGCAATCAAAGAGCATTCTGAACTCCACCAGTGATGGAATTGAACCAAACTTAGCACCCAGAACTCCCATGACCAACAGAAAAATACTGGAAGGGTTTGGTGGGCATTGACCTTGAGTTTTGGAGTTGTAGTTCACCTACATCCAGAGAGCACTGTGGACTCAAACAATGATGGATCTGGACCAACTTGGCACAAATACTCAATATGTCCAAATGTGAACACTGATGGAGTTTGTGGAAAATAGACATTGGCATTTGAGAGTTGTGGTCACTGGGATTTATAGTTCACCTATAATCAAAGAGCATTCTAAAAAACCCCAACGATAGAATTGGGCCAAACTTCCCACACAGAAAGCCCATTGTGTTTTCTGATGGTCTTTGGCGACCCCTCTGACACCTCCTTGTGACACCCCCCCCCCCCCCGGGTCCCGACCCCCCAGGTTGAAAAACACTGTCATATGCCTTCATTTCCCTCTAAGGTTAAGTCTACATGAACTAGGGGAAATGGAGTCACCTTAAATCCAAAATTAGCAGCCCTTACAACATACATCAACCTGTAAGTATCGCGGGTTTTCTTGCCTTAAATCACTTTAGGCAAAGTCAGGAGATATATTAGTTTGCTTGAAAAACCAGGGAATACCTGAGCTTCAGTTCAATCTGGACAGCTAGATTCAATTCAGCCCAGTCCAGATGGTAGAGACATTTCAGTCAAAGATGCCTCGCACATACACATCCATGAGATCATTAGGATCATAGAATCATAGAGTTGGAAGAGACCTCATGGGCCATCCAATCCAACCTCATTCTGACAAGAAGCAGAAAAATGCATTCAAAGCACCCCCAACAGATGGCCATACAGCCTCTGTTTAAAAGCCTCCAAAGAAAGAGCCTCCACCGTATTCCGAGGCAGAGAGTTCCACTGCTGAACAGCTCTCACAGTTAAGAAGTTCTTCCTAATGTTCAGGTGGAATCTCCTTTCCTGTAGTTTGAAGCCATTATTCCACGTCCTGGTCTCCAGGGTAGAAGAAAACAAGTTTGCTCCTTCCTCCCTATGACTTCCCCACACATTTTTATACATGACCACCATGTCTCTTCTCAGCTTTCTCTTCTTCAGGCTAAACATGCCCAGCTCCTTAAACTGCTCCTCATAGGGCTTGTTCTCCAGACCCTTGATCATTTGAGTCACCCTCCTCTTGACACATTCCAGTTTAGAGTCAACATCTCCCTTCAATTGCAGTGCCCAGAATTGGACACAGTGTGATTCTAAGTGTGGTCTAACCAAGGCAGAATAGAGGGAGAGCATGACTTCCGTGGAACTAGGCAGTAGAGTCCTATTGATGCAGGCCAAAATCCCATTGGCTTTTTAGCTGCAGCATCACATTGTTTGCTCATGTTTAACTTGTTGTCCATGAGGACTCCAAGATCGTTTTCACACATATTGCTCTTGAGCCAGATTACATCCATTCTGTATTTTTGTATTTCATTTTTTTCTGCCCAAGTGGAGTATCTTGTATTTGACTCAGTTCAAGTTCATTTTGTTAGTTTTGGCCTGTCATCTCTCTAATCTGTGAAGATCGTTTTGAAGTCTGCTCCTGTCTTCTGGAGTATTGGCTCTCCCTCCCAATTTGGTGACATCTGCAAACTTGATGATCATGCCTTCTAAACCTTCATCTAAGTCATTAATAAAGATGTTGAACAGGACCGGGCCCAGGATGGAACTCTGCGGCACTCCACTCGTCCCTTCTTTCCAGGATGAAGAGGAAGCATTGGGGAGAATTACCCTTTGGCTTTGTTCACTAAACTAATAACAGATCCACCTAAACATAGTTTTGCCTAGCCCACATTGGACTAGTTTCCTTGCCAGAAGGTCATGGGGGACCTTGTCGAAGGTCTTACTGAAATCCAGATACGCTCCATTCCCTGAATCTACCCAACTTGTAACTCTATCAAAAAAAGAGATCAGGTTAGTCTGGCATTACTTGAAATACTCCCAGGTATTTCAAAAATAAGTAGTGGTAGCTGGTCAATCTCCTGTCTGCTCTGTCTTTTAGGTGGTACATGCAGCCTGGGTTTTAGTCTCAACCTCCAAGGAGCTATGGTTCAACATTTTGATAACCCCTTTCAATTGTAAATTGAAAACAAGATCCTAACATGGAAGAAGAAACAAAAACCAGCTTGATTTAGATGGAACAATACCTTCTCAGTACTTCTTCATATTACCAAGCCCAGCAATGCCATCGGGTCTTGCAAGACTAAAGTCAAAGCTAGTTCCTGATGCTTTCTATTGTGTGCCAGTCTGCTGGTACGTCCACCCAGTGACGGCAAAGGCCATGTGCTGTTTTGTTTTGGAGCGTAAGGCAATGTGGTCAACCTCTCCTCCCCAGACAAACATGCAGAAATTGCAGCTCAGTCGTGTTTCCACATGCCCTGGAAGTGTCTCATTTGTGTTCCTCTTGGGTGGGTGCAGCTGCTCCTTCACAGACATCCAGAAGCAAATCCAGTTTGGCAGCCAGTTATTGATCAGGAAGGAACACTCCTTCGGTCAACTCCTGGCCACATGTTTTTGTTATTGTTGCAAGAGATAAACATGGCTACTCCTTTGAAAACTACCATCCTGGCCAAGCTGTCTCAGAGAACATCAGGGCATTATAATAAGCCACACATTGAGTGGCGATATCTCATGTCATATTCTACCTCTGACTGCTAGTGATTTCGAGGACAAGCCACAGGCCGAGATTGTGGTCTTCCATATTCCAATCCTAAGTCACGAGAATCATTTGCCTGCCTTGAAAATGATGGTATTCTTGACATCTGCCTTGAAAATAATGGTATTCTGGGTCTTCAAAATATTTCATGCGTAGTTCTAAATACCAGGTGCTGCAGACAAAGAGCAGAGAATAGTCAACGCTTCCATACCAAAAGGACTCTGCTATGAACTGCCAAAAACAGACAGAATAAATCAAGGCTGGGATCTCCTTAGAAGCCAAACTTGACTAAACTAAGAGACTTTGGATCTATAATAAGAAACCATGACTCAAAAGTTGAAGGGAATGAGAAAAGAGGAAGACCATGTTAGAAGTGGAATGTCCCAGTCTCACTCAAGGAAGCCATGGCTCTGAGTTTGAGGCCCTGAGCAAGGTGGCTTGAAGGTCTCTCACTCATAGAATCACCAGTAGTTGAGATCACCTTGAGGCTGAGTTGAGGTTCATCATAATGTTGTAGAGGTTCATCTTGAGTTGAGTTTCACCATAATGGCAAAGCACAGGGGGGTGAATTAACAGGGTGATTTGAAGGTCTCTCATTCATAGAATCACCATGAGTTGAGGTCACCTTGAGGCTGAGTTGAGGTTCACTATAAAGTTGTTAAAGTTCATCTTGAGTAGAGGTTCCCCATAATAGCAAAGCACGGGGGGGGGGGGTTGAATTAACAGGGTAACTTGAAGGTCTCTCATTCATAGAAAGACTGTGAGTTGAGGTCACCTTGAGGTTGAGTTGAGGTTCACCATAATGTTGTTGAGGTTCACCTTGAGTTGAGATTCACCATAATAGCGAACCCACAAGGGATGAATTAACAGGGTGACTTGAAGGTCTCTCATGCATAGACACACCATGAGTTAAGGTCACCTTGAGGTTGAGTTGAGGTTCACCATAATATTGCTGAGGTTCACCTTGAGTTGAGGTTCACCATAATGGCAAACCATAGGGGGCGAATTAACAGGGTGACTTGAAGGTCTCTCATTTATAGAACCACCATGAGTTGAGGTCACCTTGAGGTTGAATTGAAGTTCACCATTTATTTATTTATTTATTTATTTATTTATTTATTTATTTATTTACTGCATTTGTATACCATCTTTCTCAGCCAGAGGCAACTCAATAATGTTGTTGAGTTCACCTTGAGTTGAAGTTCACTACAATGTTGTTGGGGTTCAACATGAGCTGAGGTTCACCATAATGGCAAACCACAGGAGGCAAATTAACAGGGTGGCTTGGCAGTCTCTCATTCATAGAATCAACGTGAAGTGAGGTCACCTTGGGGTTGAGTTGAGGTTCACCATAATGTTGTTGAAGTTCTTCTTGAGTTGAGGTTCACCGTAATGGCAAACCACAGGGGGAGAAATAACAGGGTGACTTGAAGGTCTCTCATTCGTAGGACTTAGGTCTAGAAAGCCATGATCTTGAGCTATACAATAACAAGACTAGACATAACAGGGTAGCTTGGTGGTGGCATGGGTGAACTTCAGTCCTCCAGGTTCTTTTGGACTTCAACTCCCAACCAGTAGGCTGTTAGGGATTGTGGGAATTGAAGACCAAAACACCAGGAGGGCCGAAGTTCACCCATGCCTGTCTTAAGTATTGGAAAGGGCTGAGAATTGTTGAGGTCTGCAATGCCCAAACAAATGATATGTTCAATGTATTGTCGAAGGCTTTCATGGCTGGAATCACTAGGTTCTTGTGGGTTTTTTCGGGCTATAGGGCCATGTTCTAGAGGCATTTCTCCTGACGTTTCGCCTGCATCTATGGCAAGCATCCGTTCATTGGAGCTTTGTGGAGCCACATCTGCCAAACCAGCCATTCTTCTTGCAGCATTGGTCGTGTGACCCAATGAGCAGATTATGGAAGCAGCCCATTTCCTTCCAATGCTGCCAGACCCTTTTCCAGGCTCTGCTTCCTCTCCTCCAGGGAGGCTTTTGAGTCTCCTGCAGGGATGCCCTATTTGGAGGGAGCCAAGCGAGGAGGGGGCTGCGGAGCCTGGCGCAGGCATTGAGCAAGCATCCCCTTTCTTTTGCACACACACAAAGACACACACACTCACACACACAGCCCCTAATGTGCGCTGATCTCATCCAGCAGGCAGCAGAGGAGGAGAGAGCGAACCAGCATCCTCCTCCTCCTCCTCCTCCTCTAAGGAGGTCCCAGCCCTGCTGCCTGCAAAAGGATGCTGAGAGAAGCAGGAAGACAGGAAGGAAAAAAGGGGGGATTTGGGGAGGATTGGGCACCCCATTTCTTCACCCAGAGCCTGGTCTTGAAGGTAAGGAAGCCGGCATTGCTTGGAGAGGGAAGACGAGGGAGGAAATCCAATCCAAAGCTCAGGTCTAGGAAGGGAAGCAGGACGGCACTATATATTTGGATTTTCAAAGCACTCAGGAAAGAGACCCCCCCTAAAAAGACAAAAATCGGATGTGGGGGAGAATCCGACAATTAGGTTTCCATCAAAATAGATCCAAGAGACCCAGCTGGAAGAAAAGAGACGTTCAAAGGGGACTTTTCTCCAGATCTGGGTTGTATAACAGGGTGCATCTGCACCTTAGAACTAATGCAGTTTGGTACCACTTTGAAGTGCCATCAATGCTATGGAGTTGTAGCCTGGTGAGGCATCGGCTAAGAAGGATGTGACCTTGTCTTCCATAATATTAAGACTTGGCATTTTAAAAAAAAGGGAGGGGAGTCAAACTGCATTAATTCTGCAGTGTAGATGCATCCAAGCTCTGTGTGTGAGGTTCATAAGGGACAAGGTCATATGGGACATGCATATTTATTTTATGACACATATAATGTATGTTACTCATTTTTAATGTGTTGTTTAGGGTTATAAATTGAAGGTGAGTCTAGGTTTAAGTACAAGGAGTGTCTCCACTGAGATATACTTACTTGCTTAGGTGATCCCTCATAGCCCGAGGATGATGGCCTTCTAAGTGTAGTGTCTTGGCAGTCGTTGTGCAGCCCTATTCTTAATCCGCATGTTTTCCTGCAGTGAGGACATCAGTTTCCAGATGGAAGGCGGTCCCGGTTAGAGTTGGCTTGACACGCCTTCCTCTTGGCACATTTCTCCCTTTTGCCCTCCATTCATGAGTCTTCGAATTATGCAGCACTGCTGGTCACAGCTGAGCTCCAGTTAGGGCACTCAAGGGCCAGGGCTTCCCAGTTCTCGGTACCTATGCCACAGTTTTTAATGTTGACTTTAAGCCCATCCCAAAGCAGCTACTATATACCCCATTCTTGAGTTGGGAGTATAGTAGTTGCTTTGAGAGACGGTGATCAGGCATTCGGACAATATGGCCAGTCCAGAGGAGCTGGTGGTGTAGGAGCATGGCTTCAATGCTGGTGGTCTTTGCTTCTTCCAGTACGTTGACATTTGTCTGCATGTCTTCCCAAAAGATTTGCAGGATTTTTGGTGGGCAACGCTGATGGAATCGTTCCAGAAATTGAGTGTGATGTCTGTAGACAGTCCACTTTTCACAGACGTATAGCAGGGTTAGGAAGACAATTGCTTTATAAAGAAGCACCTTGGTCTCCCTATAGATGCCCCAGTCCTCAAACACTCTCTGCCTCATTCGGAAAAATGCTGCACTCACAGAGCTCAGACGGTGTTGTTTTTCAGTGCCAATGTTGACTTTTGTGGAGAGTTGGCTGCCAAGGTAGTGAAAATGGTCAACATTTTCTAATGTTCCACCATTAAGCTGTATTTCTGGCATTGCATAGGGATTGGCTGGTGACTGTTGGAAGAGCACTTTTGTTTTCTCAATGTTCAATGACAGGCTGAGCTTTTCATATGCTTCTGCCTGAAGGTCTTCTTCTGAATGTGCATAGAATACATTATCATCAGCATATTGGAGTTCTATAACACATGTTGTTGTGACCTTGGTTTTGGCTTTCAGTCTGCTGAGGTTAAATAGCTTGCCATCTGTCTGATAGATGATTTCTACTCCGATGGGAAGTTTCCCATCAACAAGATAAGGTTGTTGTGTGCCTTCAAGTGTTTCCGACTTCGGTTGTCCCATTGGAAATCTACCATGGGGGTTTCTCAGCAGATTTGTGTACAAAATTATACCAAGCCTATTATGGTTTTTAAGAAATTCATTCTTGAGTTGATATTGCCCCAATGTAATTTATATTGCTTAAGGGTTTTTTTTCTGTTTTGTGTGATGGATGTTTAATGCTCTGTGCCTATATAATAAAGTGTGGTTTGCAAGGGGTGCAAAAGGAAGAACTTGAACCTTTGCAGCTTTTTGCCATTCTGTGTCACCACTCTGGAGAAAAATCCGTTCTGAGTTTTGATCAACACTATCTGGGAGGTTGGGCTCAATGCCTTTGGGCTTCACCTCCTACATATTCCCTTTCCTGCAATGCTTAGTCCCAACTATAGAAGGCAATTTACACAAGTGTTGACTTGTCATGTCCTCATTGGTTGAAAAGGTCTAACCATTGGATTTGGACCCAGATTTGACCAGCAAAAAGATACTAGTCAAGTTACGCATCAATCAAGTGATGAATTTGCTCTGGGTCTTAGGCTAAACTTTAAAGGAGATGTCTGAAATAGATAATAAGCTAGACATGAGTCAACAGTGAGAGACAGCAGCTAAAAAGCCAGTGTGATTCTAGGCTACATACATAGGAATATAGTACCTAAACCAGGCATGGGCAAACTTTGGCCCTCCAGGTGTTTTGGACTTCAACTCCCACAATTCCTAACAGCCGGTAGGCTGTTAGGAATTGTGGGAGTTGAAGTCCAAAACACCTGGAGGGCCGAAGTTTGCCCATGTCTGGTCTAGATCCAGGGAACTAATAGTACCACTCGAAGTCAAACTCTGGGTGATGTTTGAGAAACTGTACAAATGTTGGTTGGTGTTTCTGTGGGTGTTTTACTCACCAGTGGATTGACAAGGAGACAGTGTAATGTAGTCATTTGCAGAGTGGATCCAGGAAGACCAAGGTTTGAATCCCCTTTCCTTTATTTTGATTTTATTTATTTTTTTGTCGTGTCAGGAGTGACTTGAGAAACTGCAAGTCGCTTCTGGTGTGAGAGAATTGGCCATCTGCAAGGACATTGCCCAGGGAACACCTAGATGATTTGATGTTTTTATCATCCTTGTGGGAGGCTTCTCTCATGTCCCCACATGAGGAGCTGGAGCTGATAGAGGGAGCTCATCCGCCTCTCCCCGGATTCGAACCTGTGACCTGTCGGTCTTCAGTCCTGCCGGCACAGGTGTTTAACCCACTGCGCCAGCGGGTGCTCCATATCCCTTTTCCTGATCCCCAGTAGAAAATGTAGCACAACAGATGTTTAATCAGCATTGTTGTGGGCATGTCCTTACCCTCCCCTTTCTTGGATTCAGGCATTACATACATATAGGAATGTGCTAGTCCTACATCCATGCCTTATGGCTTGTGTGCCCTCCAAGTGGCTTAATAAAGTGGTCACCATAAGGCACATTTTGGATTTTCTTTTGTGGATCCGTAAAGATATTCTTTGATTCCAAAGGCACCCAGTTCAGCTCAGGAACTGGGAGAAGAGAGTGTGTGTCTTCTTCCACTTGGTCATACAGTACATGGTAAAGCAATATGATTTGTTTTCTTTGGTAAGCTTTGTTTATTTTGCTGCTAGTGTATATCGCTGGGTATCAGATGGGCCTCATACCTTTTCCCCTTTCCATTCTCTTCCTTCCCTCCTTTCCTTTCTTTCCCTTATTTTTCTTTCTTCTTTCCTTCCTCCCTCCCTCCCTTCTCCTCACACACATACCATCTTTCTTTCCCAGTGACATCACAGGTGGTCACTTCACCTAGTAAGAGACAATTCTTTAGCTAGCAACAGCTAATATAGTGACATCACATAAGGCCACTTCACCTAGCAACAGCCAATCCTTTACCTAGCAATGGATAATCTAATGGAATCACAGATGGTCACTTCACCTAGCAACAGCCAATCCTTTACCTAGCAGCAGGTAATCTGGTGACATCACAAAGAGTCACTTCACCTAGCAACACTCAGTCCTTTTACCTAGCAACAGCTAATCTAATTACATCGCATAGGGCCACTTCACCTAGCAACAGCTAATCTGGTGACATCACAGATGGTCACTTCACCTAGCAAAAGCCAATCCTTTACCTTGCAACAGTTAATCTGGTGACATCACAGAGGGTCACTTCAACTAGCAACAGCCAATCCTTTACCTAGCAACATCTAATCTTGTGGCATCACAGAGGGTCACTTCACCTAGCAACTGCCAATCCTTTACCTAGCAGCAGCTAATCTGGTGGCATCACAGGTTGTCACTTCACCTAGCAACAGCCAATTCTTTACATTGCGACAGCTAATGTAGTGGCATCACAGATAGTCACTTCACCTAGCGACTGCCAATCCTTTACCTAGCAACAGCTAATCTGGTGGCATCACAGGTTGTCACTTCACTTAGCAACAGCCAATCCTTTACCTTGCAACAGCTAATCTAGTGGAATCACAGATGGTCACTTCACCTAGCAACAGCCAATCCTTTACCTTGCAACAGCTAATCTAGTGGAATCACAGATGGTCACTTCACCTAGCAACAGCCAATCCTTTACCTTGCAACAGCTAATCTAGTGGCATCACAGAGGGTCACTTCACCTGGCAACAGCCAATCCAGTGACATCACAGAGGGTCACTTCACCTAAAACAACCTTTGTGGGACAGATAGACAAGCAGACAGACATCAAAAATGGATGGATGGATGGATGGATGGATTGGTGGATGGATAGATAGATAGATAGATAGATAGATAGATAGATAGATAGATAGATGTTGTGAATACATAGTATAACTGAGTAGATAGAAATCCATAACTCTAGGTTACAAATCTGGAATGGCAGCCACATCTTCCAGCTGCCTTAACAGTAAATATTTCATGTTTATCTCCTGCTCTTTATACAATCTTAGAGTTGGAAGGGGCCTTAAGGGCCATCTAGTCCAGCCCCATTCTGCCATGTAGAAATATACAACTTCCAAAGGATGCCCATCCAATCTCTATGTAAAGACCACCAAAGAAGGCGTGTCCACTGCGCACTGTTGTACCCCATAAATGTTTAAACACTCCTGAATTGTTTTAAATCATGTTAATTGATTTCATTCCGTGCTTCCTTGAGATCTACTCATGTAAGGCAGGGTATAAATATTTTCATAAATTTATTTCAGAAATACAAATAAAGACATGCAAATAAACTCTGCATGTCAAGTGGCTGAAATATCCAAGGATATTTACTATTTACTACTGCAATGATTCTACTTTATAGGTCTAGTTTTGTGTGGCTTTTGTAATAAAAACATGACCATGAGGATTAAAAATGTCCCCAGGGTTAACATAAAAAATAATATATCTATATTACTAGGATTTTTTTAAAACCATGGAAGACAAATGTGTGCCACTATAGACAAGTAGAGTCATAAATACTTGAGTTTCTATGGAGAGCTGTGGCACTAATATTTTTAATCTTTGAGACATTGTCAAGGTTATATTGTCCCATCTCTTATTCTTAAAGGAAAACATAGCATTGCATGTCAAGAGGTTTTGCACATTAGAAGCCCATGGTTGTTCTAAAGAGGGAAAGAGAGAGAAACCCTTTAATCCAGTTCAATCCATAAAAACTCATTAAAAACATATTCCATTTCGGAGCATCAGTGATTCCAATTCGATCCAAGAATCTAGCAATCCATGACCTCCCACTGGATAATGTTCTGCTTTTGTACAATTGCGCTATTGCAATATTCTCCACAGTTGGCAATATTACTCTCATTTTAGCTTTGAATACGTTTCATTCAGATGTTTTAACTGTTTGTTTGAAGGATGAAGATTTTAAAATACAGTGCCCAGCCATTATATTATAAGTAACGTCCCTGGTAGGAAGTCACCTTCTGAAATCTCACAGGATTCTCCAAGACACTTGAAGGGCAAAACAAACTGCTATATCTGTGTAGTGCGGATATGCCTTTGAATTGGACCACCTTTCGAACAGAGGGAGGTATCAGACAGTGATGGATGAGGTCTCCGAGTCAGTGGGGCAGTGGATCCACTCTGGGCTTCAGCCTTAGTTTTAGAGCAGCTTTCGAAGGCCCCATATCATATCAGTACCTTGGAGAGCTCCTTTGAAGTTTGACCTGAAATCTGATATGCTGTGAGCCACCTTCCGGTCTCTTCAGATAGAAGGTTGTCCTATCACAGCTGTCTTTGGGCTTTATCACACCCATCCGCTACCCCACAATAGCAGAGATAATGAATACATACTGATCTGAGCACCTCCAATATTGCACCTTTCTTTAGTGACTCAATTGCACCGGTTCGCCGATCCATGACTCTGCAATCAGATTCTACAAGAACATGAAAACTCACCTTCCTGCACTACTACTCCCCACTCAGAATACATTGTGGCTCATTTACGTATTCAAAAAAAATTCTAGCATTTTTTAAAAATCTGATATATATATATAGGTAAAGGTAAAGGTAAAGGTTGTCCCCTGACATTAAGTCCAGTCGTGTCTGATTCTGGGGGGTGGTGCTCATCTCCATTTCTAAGCCAAAGTTCCAGTGTTGTACATAGACACCTCCAAGGTCATGTGGCTGGCATGGCTGCATGGGGCACAGTTACCTTCCCACCAGAGTGGTACCTATTGATCTACTCACATTTGTATGTTTTCAAACTGCTTAGTTGGCAGAAGCTGGAGCTGACAGCAGAAGCTCACTCTGCTCCCTGGATTTGAACCTGTAAACTTTCGGTAAACAAATTCAGCACACACACATATTTCTACATACTTCAAAGAATTCTGGGAAATGAAGTCCAGTATTCAAAGAAAGAACAAAAACAGGGAATGCATGCTATAATATGATTAAAAGAATATCTGAGGCAGGGTGGACAAACAATCACACCGCTGCCACCAATATAGCGAAATTAAAGGCTGACCCTATGTTATATATACAAGTGACCGAATGTTCTTGGTAGTATTAGCCGCCACCACCTCAGAATTATTGGCCTGAGGAACCAAAGGGTGTGAATGTGTTATAGGTAAGGGGTGTTTGAGCTCCTGATTCCTCTATGGCTCCCTCACTGGCTGACTGGACTTTAAAATGGTTTGACAGAATGTGTTCTGAGAAAACGTATAGATTGAGGCATACACCAGTTAAAAGTTAACTTGAAAGAGTTTATTGAACTTTATATTAACAACAACTCATAGAAATGAGTGGTACAGAAGCGTGATTCAGTTGCAGAAACTTGGTTATTTAAACAAACAGTTCTCCTGACAGAAAAGCTTTTAACAACTGTGAGACTCCTTAAACATACAGTTCTATCTTTAGACACAGTATCTCTTGGGAACAGATCCCTATCTGTCTCCACCACAGGGTAGTAAGCTCTGGAGACAAATRTTTCTTTTACTGGCTCTCAACACACAGTAAAATACTAGCCTATTGTCTCAGCCTATTTCCCTAAACRTAAGGCTCACTAAAAGCTCTTCCCTTTCTGTCAGATCCCTGCTGTAACTTCCTATCTCAAAAATCACAACCTTCTCTGTCTCAAGTCAAGACCCTACTCTCTCTCTGTCAAAATCTGGCAGCTTATTTTCCCTCTCTAAACCAACTCCTCCCCCAATTGCTATACCCAATCAGGAGTCAGCTTGACTCCTCCTCCTGTCCTGCCTGCCAGCCAAGATGACAGCCACTGTCATGTAGGCTTCGGCCTAGTCGACTGAAAGGTAGTTTTCATTACACATGCTCTGTGAATTATGAAAGGCTCTCCAGGAAGGCACAATTCAAACACTCCCAAAAGACGGCCATCCATTTCTACTCTATAGCAACCCTGGGCTATAATATCTACAATAATAATATCTATACATCTATCATAATAATATCTATAAGTCTATAACAATAATAATAATAATAATAATAATAATAATATGTCTATGATATCTATATGTCTATAAAACAATATCTACATGTCTATAATAATAATAATATCTATATACGTATAATAATATGTATACATCTGTAATAACAACAGCTATATAATATCTATAATAATAATATCTATAGGTCTGTAATAATATCCATACATCTGTTGCCCATTTTTGCTTGAAAGATATTTAGCCCTGTGCTCCTATTTTTTATCAGTTTTATACTAATTTATGCAATATTTTTGATACAAAATAAATAAATAACATATATATAACAATAATACCTACATGCCTTTAATCATAATATTTGCGTCTATAATAACATCTATATATCTATAACATCTATATATCTATAATAACAATAATAATAATATACCTATATAATATCTTTGAACTGGGCTATATGGCAGTGTAGACTCAGGTAACCCAGGACCCTTCCACACATCCATATAACCCTTTGGCCTCGAGGAGACTGAAATGCTCCTATGTTAGGTTGACACTTTGCCACTTCAGTTGTATATTGATAACTTAGAAACCAGCTCTTCCTCTTTTCTTTCTTTCCCATTTCTCCACAATGGGCCACAGCAAGGCGTGGCTGGGTACAGCTAGTATACAGCTTGCCGTTCCCTGCCACTCGTTGCTGTGGCCCAGTCTGGTGATCTGGAAAATAAAGTAATGATTTTTAAGACATGTAATTCCTTTATGCTTGTGGGTAAACAGTATTCCTTGTTGTTTCTATGTCAGTGTTGATGTGGAGATTGTCTGGTTTGCCTACTCTGGAACATGTGACATATAATTGTCCTTCTTTAGGGGTCCCTTTCAAATCTATGATACTATGTGTATGTGTGAATCATATCTATCTACCTATTCATCTCTATCTATCTATCTACCTATCTATCTATCTATCTATCTATCTATCTATCTATCTATCTATGGCTGGATGGCTCTTTGTCAGGAGGGCTTTGATTACATTTTCTTGCCCTGATGAAGGGAGTTGGATTGGATGGCCTTAAGTATTTTCTGTTGGTCATGGGGGATCTGTGTGGGAAGTTTGCCCTGATTCTGTTGTTCATGGGGTTCAGAATGCTCTTTGATTTTAGTTGAACTGTGAATCCCAGTGACTACAACTCCCAAATGTCAAGGTCTATTTCCCCCCAAACTTCATCTGTGTTCATATTTGGGCATATTGAGTGCTTGTGCCAAATTTGGTCCAAATCCATCATTGTTTGAATGTACAGTACTCTCTGGATGTAGGTGAACTACAACTCCCAAACTCAAGGTCAATGCCCACCAAACCCTTCTAGTGTTGACTGTTGGTCATGGGAGTTCTGTGTGCCACGTTTGGTGCAATTCCATCGTTGATGGAGTTCAGAATGCTCTTTAATTGTAGGTGAACTATAAATCCCAGCAACTACAACTCCTAAATGACAAAATCATAAATTTTTGAGTGATGGTTACTCCTTGTGTTGTGAGACGTTTTGTTGCCAAATTTGGTGTGATTTCGTTCATTGGATCTGCACCAATACATCACACATGTTCCATCCTGTCTATATCCTTCTTGACTTGTGGTGCCCAGAACTGGACACAATTTCCCAGGTGAAGTCTGACCAAAGCAGAATAGAGTGGGATTAGGACTTCCATACATGCAGCCTAGAGTTGCACTAGCTGCTGCACCACACTGTTCAACTTGTGGCCCATGATTTACAGTATGTCATGTTGGCACAGAAGTGGAAGAGACTAATGACACTACAGCAGGTAGTACAATAGTGGTGGAATCAGGAAGGGGAGAGACCAACCAATAATGGAATACACCTGGTGTCATGTGGTAGGGCCAGTCCATCTTCAATGAAGATTTGTCTCCATTGTGTGATGAAACCCTCAGCCACATCATAAGATCAGAAATTATCATCTGTGTTCAACTGATTTTCTTTAACCACCGCCAATTGCTTTGTTAACAAACTGTCAACGTGGTCTTTCCCATTCCTAACAGCCAGAACAACAAGGCAGACGAGAACCCAAAATCTCCAGTTGACATATATCAAGAGATGGATGACATTTAGAGGAGGATTCCAAGACCTGAAATGCTCTGTAGAGTCTTAGTATTTTTTTAAAACCTCCAGCATCAGGAATGTTTGGAAGCTCATGCCAACTTGTTCTTTCTGTTTTGTCTGAATCCAGGGGAATGTTGATGACCTGCTGCGGCATTCTTCTGGCTGCCAAGAAAAGTTGGCTTCAAGCTCGAAAAGGTACTGATCTGCTATAATACAGGTAAAAATTAACAAACAGCGTGAAGAAGCTTTAGCTGCACAGCTTGTGCTGCTTTTGCAGATGAATGTCAAACCACGTAGCCACGTAGCATCTTGAAGCTCAAGTGTGTCAAAAGGCAGCCACAAGATGGTTGTGTGATGCAATTCGCACACAGCATTCAGGACCATTGTTACCACAAGATTACCCAAGACCTGCCTATCATGCGGGGCAGGAATGTTCTTGCTGTTGTTTGCTAGGATGTTGGACTAGGTGGCCCTTCTGGTCTTGTCTAGCTCTTAAAACGTTGTGAAAATTGCTAGCTTTTGGAAGCTAAGCAGGGTCAAGCTTGGTCAGCACTTGGAGGGAACACTGGTGGAATACAAGAGGTCTCCAAGTAAGGCTACGAATGTGGCACAGCTGTCTGAATGTCAGCTTCATTAAGATCACTTCTGACCAAAATGTCATAAGTTCAAAGCCAGCCTGGGTCAGAGTGAGCTTCTGACCAATTGTGTAGCTTGTTGTTGACCTTTGCAACCCGAAAGACAGTTGCATCTGTCAAGTAGGAAAATTAGGTACCACCTATCTGTGGGGAGGCTAATTTAACTAATTTATAGGGCCATAAAAAAAAGACTCCAGCAAAACACTTCAGCAAAAACATGCGGGGAATGCGGAAGTACGTCATCAGTGTCGCAGATAGACGATGAAAGCGACAGAAAAGTTAAATAGCCTCCAACATCTGTCTGTATCTGTTGTGTGTTTTTGGCATTGAATGTTTGCCACATATGTGTACATTGTAATCTGCCCTGAGTCCCCTGCGGGGTGAGAAGGGCAGAAAATAAATACTGTAAATAAATAAATATTTTCGAAGGCTTTCATGGCCAGAATCACTGGGCTGTTGTAGGTTTTTCAGGCTATATGCCCATGTTCTAGAAGCATTCTCTCCTGATGTTTCACCTGCATATATGGCAAGCATTCTCAGAGGTTGTGAGACTTCACAACCTCTGAGGATGCATGCCATAGATGCAGGCGAAACGTCAGAAGGGAATGCATCTAGAATATGGCCATATAGCCTGAAAAACCTACAACAACCCAGGGCTAAGAATCCCACCTAAAAATCTGAGGTATTTCTTCCAACCAGAAGCTATCATTCCTGCAGAAGGTATGATGATCAGTCAATCAGAAGTCAGCATTTCAGACACAACATAAGACCTGCGTCTTCTGGCAGGCCTATCTAGTCAATTTTAACTTGTGAAATATAATCTGCATCGTATGTGTGTATCTTATTATATGTATTTCAGTTATCTTGTATTTTATCACCCTGTTTCAACCATGTTGTCCACTATCTTGAGCTTCAAGGATGGGCGGATAATGCAATTATTGTTATTGTTATTATTTTTGTTATTATTCAATAAGACACTGAGCAATTTACCCTCTAGAGTCCCATGTTCCCCTGATATGAGGATTATGAGAAATTCTGAAATTGCCTTATACTAAGTCAGACTACCTCCTGCAATTGTTGCCTGCTTTGATTAGCAAGTGTTGGAACATGTAAGGAATCAGTGAGTGAGTGTATGTCAACTATAAAATAAGATGCATGAAACTGTTTGGTCGGGCTATGCCTGGGGAGCAGGCTGAACCTGGGACTTTTGGATACTGTTACACTTTTGTTCAGGCTTCAGCTATGCAGGTGCATGAAGCAGCAGAGAGAGTGAAGCAGAGAGAGACAGAGTTTGGAGTGTGCTCTTGCTTCATGAACTGCTGAAGGAGTTTATCCACATGGACAAAGAAAGACCATTTTAAATCTCTCATAAAAGGACATTATGTAAGTTGATGCAACTGATCGCTTTGTACATATTGTACCATGAACTATGAAGAGTAAATGACTTGCTGTTTATTGTTCATCTGCGTGGCATATTTTCTTTCTCTGGCAAGGCAATGTGTGGGCTGATCAAACATGAACGACACATGGTTTATTTTACATTACGCCACAGCAAGAACTCTCCAAGCCAGTCTTTATTTATTTATTTGTTTACTTCATTTGTATCTTCTCAGCCCTTAGGCGACTCAGAGCGGTTAACAACAACAGTTTCAATATACACAGTACAAAATCATTGGACATTTAAAAGCATAACGATTAAACATCAAACATCAATACATCAATATAACAAATCCATCACGTCTCATCAATAGAATCAGAATCCAGTCTCGATATCCATTATTCCATGTTCTAATAATCAATTACACTGCCTAGTTGAATGCCTGTTCAAACAGTCAGGTCTTCACTCTCCTCCGGAATGCCAGTACAGCCGAGGGGCCACCACTGCGAAGGCCCTGTCTCTCGTCCCTGCCAGACGTGCTTGTGAAGCCGGCGGGATCAAGAGCAGGGCCTCCCCAGACGATCTTAATGTCCTAACTGGTTCGTAGGAGGAGATGCGTTCGGACAGGTAAGTCGGGCCAGAACCATTTAGGGCTTTAAAGGCTAAAGCCAGCACTTTGAATTTCTCATGGACATCCTTATCAGGAGATGCCAGGAACTGAACCCAAGATCTTCTGCCTTCAGAATGTGTGGCCTGCCACTGAGCTCTCTGTCCCTGTGACTTGGAAGCTCCTGACAAGTCCACATTAAGGTCTTTATATAATAAGTGTCTAAGAATAATTATCGAGACACAATTATATCAACAACTTGACGTCTTGATCCGACTCGCTTCTGCCATTCTTCTTATTTATGTCCTTAGCTGATCTGATCTACAGAATGAAGAGTTATATTCTTGGCATTTTCTTTTATGGAAAGAATTTATCTTCAGGTCGTCCACGTTCTTGCTCACATTTTGGCATCCCAATTATCTCCCGTCGTAATGCATTCTCTCTGAACTTCCCATTAATTTACAAGTTTCTGAAGGAGCGGGATGTTCTGTTCCATTTCGCTAAGAGTCATTTTCTCATCGATGTATTATTCAGATTCTCCTGCAACCACTCCTTTGTTCAGCTCGGGGGCTGGATCTAATTAACCTAAAGTGCATAAATGTCTCAAAACTCTGTCTCGAGAAATGTAGTCCAGTTGACTCTGTGGAGCGTAAAGATCACATTCAAGAGCAGAAACGAAAACAATTCAAAAGGGGGAAATAACTTTGATAGCCAGGACTTGATAGTCCACTAACTATAGATACTTTACCAATCTCAGTGAAGGAAAGTTAATGAAAAGGTCACAAGAAGAAAAGTGTCCTCTTATGACACACTGGGCCACAAGTTGCAATAAGAGTTGACTCCAGATTGCAAAGTGCCAAAGCTTTCCAATAACAAGCAGATCCATGTCAGAAAGCCATAAATCAAAACAGAGTCAATAAGCAAACTTAGGGTCATAAATACAACACAGAGTCAGGTTGTCATAAAGGTGGCTTTGTTGGAACACAATCAGCCTGTGATTGTGTTTCAGGATCAGGGTGCTTTGGATGTGGGGAGTGATGTCAATGAGGTTCCAGTGTATCTGTCCGAACGTATCTCCCTCTACGTCCCACCCCGGAATTTGAGATCATCCGGGGAGGCCCTGCTCTCGACTCCACCGCTATCACAAGCGAGGCTGGTGGGGACGAGGAGCAGGGCCTTCTCGGTGGTGGCCCCTCACTTGTGGAACTCACTCCCGGGGGAAATCAGGGCATCAACATCCCTCCTCACCTTCAGGAGGAAGGTAAAGACGTGGTTGTGGGACCAGGCCTTTGGGCAACCTGACAATTAGATATGGAAACCAGATGGATAGGACTGAAAGGACTGACAATTGTGGAATTGGAATTTAAACTATGAGATTGTGAAACGCTGACCGTCAAGGAGGTTTGTATGGGTTTTTATTGCTTTTATTGGTTTTATGGTTGTTTTTGCCTATAATAATTATTGTTTTTATGGTAATTGTTGTTATTGATAGAATTGCTGTTTTGTTAAATGATGTTATTGTCTTTTGCTGTTATGTGATGCGGGCATCGAATTGTGCCTCGCTTTTGTAAGCCGCCCTGAGTCCCCCCCGGGGTGAGAAGGGCGGGGTAGAAGCAACCGAAATAAATAAATAAATAAATATATTGAATGGTTTGATCAGTGATCTTGATGCAGAGAATGACCTGGAGACCCCTGTTCAAAGTGTAGTTTCCCATGAGAATGTCCCTGAAGGGTGTGAGGATGATGGTGTACTCCCTGAATTGCTACCAGAGAGTTCCCAGGATTTGGGGCTTGAAAACAACTCAGCACCTGCAGAAATTAATGAGCAAATAGATAGACGGGAGGAAATTAGTCAAAACAAGACAGGCCGAACAGTGCCTTCGGTGTTCGGCCAGGCTTTGACAGAAAAAGATAAGGGGATCCTAAGTAAAGCGAAACAAATTCCTGAGTGCTTGGAATAGCTTAACAATGGGATAAAAGTTCCAAGGATGGGAAATGTAGCCAGATGAAGCATCATTTAGAATCCAGCTAAATTCTCGTCCTTGTTTTGTGGAAGCCTTGCTTGAAAGATTCATGCTTAAGTATTTATTGTTTCATGATTTTGCTTCTTGTATTTTATGATTGCATACTCATGCCTTGGATTAACATTTCCTGGTTCTCTGGATTTTATTAGAGAAGTGTGGACTTTGTTTTCATGGACTTGGCTGAAATCTACCCTGGAATAATTTGTTCCTGCTTAACTTCTTACCTAATTGGATTTACCTATTTCTTTAAAGTGCTTTTTTTCCCCTTTTCTGCTTTTTAATTATCTTAAATAAAAGGAATGTTTTCCTATTCAACGTGTGGTGTTTAAAGTCAGGGGGCTTTTCCTGTCCTGGGGTGCAACAGGCTTGAATGTTTCAAATTTGGGGAGTGGTGTGAGCTCCCACTGTTAGCCCCAGCTTCTGCCAATCTAGCAATTCGAAAACATGCAATTGTGAGTAGATCAATAGGTACCACTCCAGCAGGAAGATAACAGCACTCCATGGAGTCATGCCAGCCACATGACCTTGGAGGTGTCTACAGACAATCCCAGCTCTTTGGCTTAGAAATGGAGA